AAGTGCTCAATAAAGTTTACTAACTTAGACCATCCATTGGTTTTATGCAGACAGTATATTGTGGTGTGGGGGGGGGGGGGAAGAAGAGGAGGGGAAGAGTAGGTACACTTGAAGGAAGACCGGTCTTCTGGCCCAACAGCTGGGGCATGCCAGATAGCTGAGACTTCACCTTATACAAGATACTACATGCTCCTGGTTGCTTCTAGCCATGGTGCTTCCCAGTCATCTCTGCAGGGTGCTGTTTGGCAAGGCTCACTGCCCATTTCATTGCATCCTTACCTGGAGGGCAGGAGCACACAGCAGCAAGTTTGACCTGTTGCTGGCATTACAGAGCCACCTGGGGGGGACCTTGGGCAAGTATCTTGGAGTAAGACAAGGCTGAGGTGGAGTGCAAGTTCTTTGGGGCGGGGACTAGCTCTCACTAGGTGTGTGTCCAGCCCTTAGTGCAATGGGGCTCAGTTGGGGCACCAAGCGTTACTGTAATATTGGAATAGTAGTTATATTAACCCCTTCCCTGCTGGCATCTCATGGCTCACCTAATATGTTCCTATGTGTTTTCTGGTTCAAAGGAGCATGGCTGTAGTTCCTGCTGGGTCTGATTTCTCTCTCTCCTATCCCCATTGAATCGAGCTGCCTTGCTGGTCATGGACTGGAGAAGTAGGCTGCAAACCCGGCCACTGGGAATGTAACAGCTGTGTGCTGTAGTATCTGACGTTTTTCCTTCTGGCTTCACTTACTGCAGCTGCCTCTACCAGACAAATTATTCCCCCGCACCCCCCCAGATCCTGAAGCCTCCTAAGTGGTCCCCGTGACACCTTGTGAGGTCACTGCTCTCACAAGGGGTCCCTCATCCCAGCCTAGACAGCACTGCTACTGAAAGTAATGGAAAAATCTACACCCCCTTCCCCTCAAAAAAAGAAAAATCAATAGAAGGACCCAGGAGGTCACCTAATTGGATACTACTTGCTGAAAGGCAATTACAATACGAAACCCAACCACAACGCTTCAGATGCTCTGAAATCATAAATCATATTCCGAGCCCGGCTCAGCTTTCTCTCCATCTGAAAGCTTCATTGATTTGATGCTTCAGGTCTCCTCTGCATGAAAGAGCAGCCAGCCAACAAGGAAGTGCCTGATGATCATGTCAAGGAGATCTAGATCGCAGATGGGCTGTCTGTGCCCTCCCCAGTTCACTGGGGATCAGGGGGCTGCACATGCACAAATCTCATGAGGAGCTCTCTGGGGACTCTTCTCCCTGCTGGTTTTGTGAAAAGTCAACACAAACAATTCCTGGGTTTGATTCCCCATTGCCCTGCACCTTGTCGTCATGACCCTGTGCAATGTGGGTGTTAAAGGCTACAATTCTACTTTGGTAGGATTGTGCCTGGATGTGCAGAGCAAAGGGGAATTCTCCCTTTCCTTCCCTCTTCCCCAAATCTGAGCCAAGCCTTTCTGGTTTTGCTTCCAGACAGGACTGGGAGAGCCAAATCCAATGGGAAAGTGGTTCTTGAGCTATTCCTCACCTTACCGAAAGCATAGCTCTATGGTTCCAGCTAGATATAGATGATCTGCCAGGGAAAGAATACACCATTGATAAGGGCTTCCTTTTATCTTTATTTTTGTCCACACAGCTAGCCCCAGTTTCTTCCACTCTTACATGGAGCCATACCTTCACTCTGCCAATAGCCCCAGTGAACTCAGTGGGTAGATCACTGAGGAAGGTAGACAGCAACATGAGTGAGGTGGTAGAATTTGACCCAGAGTGATTTAGAAAATGCTTTTCCCTTTTTCACCTCCTGCTTGTCTGACACTCTGCAAAATGCCTATTTACTACATCTCCAATTTCCAGAAATGTACCCAACTACAGCTCAGAGATGCCCATGCTAGTCTAAAGAAAATGTTCTGCCCACATAATGGGTAAATGTGCATAGCCACAAAAACTGCTGAGCAAACAGGGAGAATCAACCTCACCAGCTCCCGTCCCTGGCTTCAACAAGGGAAAACTAACTTGACATGAGTATATGCTTTGGAATACTCCTTTGGGTCACACGTCCAGGACTAGGGTAACCATTTTTCAACAAGCAGCAGACCACAGAAAAACATCCTATTCAAAGAAACTACCCAGCTGTGGTTATGTAATCCTCCTTTCAGCTGTATAGAAAGGAGAGAAGCCCAAACGACAAAGTTTGGATTTGAATCTGAACTATTTCAAGGTTTGAGTGTTTGGATCTGGGGGAGGGGGCATGTCTGGACCCATCTCTGTTACAAATACAGCTAGAAGAAAGTTCATTTTTGGAGGTATAGAAGGTTCCTGCAGCCTGCTCCATTGAGAATCAGTATTTTCAATAGTGTCCTCAGAAAAATGTAGGGAACCTACCCAAGAGCCTCTATGCTCCGCTTCTGTGCTCTATAAGTATACCCCGACGAATAGCTGTGAGACGAGCAGGGAATAGCCATCTCAGACCTGAAAGAAAAAAAATAATCCAAGACAAATCCTAAAAACTCTTCTTTAATCTTTGTGCTTCCAGACCTAGTCTCCCTTTCATCTAGGACTTTGCAATTCTGTAGTTATTCCAGTTATAGAAACCACAAACGCTATGAGAAAGGGAGAGAGAAAGAAAAGATTAAATTAATGAGCAGGTAAGCAGGTTTATTATTTCATCTGATCCTTCCTTCTTGCTAATTTCTGTGAGCCAATTTGGGAGGTAGAGCCTATAACATTAACTCTGACACTATTGTATCCCTTTTCTTCCTTAAACCATTTATCTGAATGCTATTACGATCCAATTTGCATAGCTGCTTTAAGGTATTGTACAATGTGTGTGCGCTAAGCTGTAGTGCCTGACAAGAACATATTTGAGCACACACACACACACCCCCACCAATGAAACAGGGACTTTCAACCTGCCTTTTATTAGTCCCAGGAAATACTTAACACTTGTATAGAATGCCAAAATCTGATGCTCTTACTCACACTGAATAGTACTTTACTCTGCAAATAGCCAACACATTGGAATAACTGTTCAGTAATTTGAGTAAGGAGTTTGCAATTTGGCCATAGTTAATTAAGCCTCATTACATCTGTCTAGCAAATTGATCCACTGAGGTGCTCTTGGAAGGAACTGAAATGACATCCTATGGCAAGGAGTTCCCCATGCTGAGGAAGGACTGTAGAGGAGTGCCACAAGGACCTAGCAACTCCCAATGGCCATTCCCAGTGGGAGCTCAGAGGATCAAGCCCTTATAGGGACATGGTGAGGCTTAATTAAGGATCAAGGGCAGATGTAGGTGTTTGTATTACAGATTCTGTCAGCAGGTGCAGGTTGCTTCTCTACAGGGACCTCCATGATGTGCCAAGGAGGAAGATGTGGACTTCTCCATGCTGGGCCTGTGGCATAAAACTCCCAGATGCCAGTGCGGATTTATGGAGAGTATCACTATCTGGTAAATAGCCAACTGTCCCACAAATTCCCAGCATAATATTCCTCGGCAAACTAACTGCATCCAAGATAACTTACAAGGAGATGGGGAAATGAACACCCTATTTACCCCTACCATGCCCTTGTTAACCAAACATCACACAACTCTGTGCTAAAGACGTGCTCCGTTTCTTTCTCTGCCCAGTAAAGCAGCACCCCGGACCTCATTTCTAACCAGCAGCCAACACCACCCCTGTCTGCAGGTCCCAAGACTTTGCACTGACGCCTCTGGAGCTCCCAACCAGTTTTCACCTTCATAAATATTTAAAGCTTCAGCCGTCTTATTCTGGGGATCTAATGGAAGTACGGCACCAAAAAAAAAAATCAATTGTTCCTTTCTTCGCAAAAACTTCTGAGCTGCCTGCTTTAATCGGCCCAAGTGTGATGTTTTATCAATCAAGTCTTAAGAATCTGTTTCTTTCAGCAATCAAAACTTTGCTTCAGTCTTTTTGAAGAACTTGAAATGTCGTCCTTGAGCGGCAAAGGGCCCCGCACATTACATACACTTGGAAACATGAAAGCGGTGCATGTGCATGTTGCCGAGCACCGTCCCATGGGAGTGCCTGTGAAATGTATGTGTTTGCTGTCACACAAAGGGACGATTTCTTGAAGGAGTTCATTTGAGAAACAGGAGGAGTCGGGGGGGAGGGGTGAAGGAAAACATCAAGTCATTGTGTTTGTGGTTTGTCTCAAATTGGCTAGGACTGGGGCAGAATTCAGAGAGGACTTGATGGGGATGGGAAGTCTCCAGCAGCCACATATACTCCTCCTCACTCCCTACAAGCAGGCTATACTGCTGTAGCCACTGGATGTTTGTGCTATGCCAAGCTTGGCGCCTCATAAGTCTTCCCCACTGCTAGTCAGGAAGACAGGAAAGTGCTAGGACAGCCCCAAAGTATTCCTCATAACAAGTGAGATCAGGGGGTCATCTATTTCCCAGAAGGCAAGACATCCCGATGATGCAACCTCAAAGGTGTTAGGCCAGACGTAGAACTTAGTCTTAACATGCTTATACATGTGCCAAGACCTGTACCAGTCCTTGATCTTTCTGGGGAGCAACCAAAGCCACCACATGTCCTTTAATCCACTGCGCCAGGGCTCCTTAAAGTAGGCAAGGTTTATGGGCAGGATTGTAGTAGCCCAATTCTGCTTGGGGTTGTCACTGAGGGGTCCCTGCCATGCGTGGGGATTAAAGAAGCCACGGCCCCAGAGGCTAAAGGTGTTTCCTGGCAGGGAGTACCTGACTGGGATGGTGCAAGGTTGAGAGTGAACAAAACTCATCCATGGAGCTTGCTGTTGTCTTTGGAACTGTCATCTCATCCATATCCTCTTCCTTGTCTTCTGTAGTCCTTCGTCAAAATCATCTTCTATACATGGGCGTCTATTTCTTGCTTGGCCACCTGGGAGCGTGGGCTGCAGCAGTTGGCCCGACACAAGTACTTGTTGAAGGAACCAAGTCTGCACCTGAGCAGAAACAGATGGGGTGCTGATGCAGATTCCATGTATGCTCACACCTGCTAGCCTGTCTTCACTACCCATGATCATGGAGGACCCATGGCTCTCATGAGGAAGATTAGCTCCTTCTGTGCCCTGGGGGAGTCCACTTCTTGGCCAGAATCTATGGTCTCCAACCCTAGTTATTACTTTTAGCTTATTAAATGAATACAGAGGTCAAGTTTTCAGGCCAGATTCTCAGCTGAAATAGGTCTGTTGACTCAGATATGCCAAATTTTACCAGTTGATCTGGCTTCTAAACATGGGTTATCAGGCCTAGTTGGAAAAAAAAATGCAATGATTTTGTGGGGAATATTTTCCACCTTTTTTTTTGTATTTTTTTCCTTCAAAATTTTGAAACACTCTAGCATTTTCTGGCCAACTCCAGTTATTAGCAGCTTCCACCACCCAATCATCTGGCACGTGCCCTGCTCTGATATGCTATGACTAGCTAAGCAAATAGTCCTAGTCACAAATGTGACTTTGGGTCTCAGCTGTCTGGCAAGCTCCTATCAGAGGGGAGAAAATGCACACATTAAAACACAGGGATTTTCAACATGTCATATCCTGGGGCTAGCTCATCCCTCCACTGACTCCCCTGGGAGTTACGCAAAGGGTGAGCTTTGTTAGTCTGTGTCTGGCTCTTTTCTACATTCTGTCTGGGGGACTTCTCTGAAAGTAGAAAGTTCCTTCCTGCATTAAAGGGCCAGACCATCTTATGCCTTCTTTCCTTGATTCCCAGAGTGTACATGAAACAAGGCTGGGAATTAGATTTTCTACTGATCTGGAAGCAGGGCCGGCTCTAGGCACCAGCAAACCAAGCACGTGCTTGGGGCGGCACATTTTCAGGGGTGGCATTCCCACCATCCATCTTCCTTTCTGCACGGAGCTGCCTGCAGGTGCCGCAGGGGCGGCTGCCCCCCAGCACCGCAACCAGGGTTGGGCAAAGCGGCCCAAGCCTCCAGGGGTTGCGTCAGGGCAGCCAGAAGCAGCAGGGCCATAGAGGGCGGGATGCTGCCATGCGGGGCCTGCGGCCCACTCTCTGTAGCTCTGCTCCCTCTGGAGCTACCCTGCCCCAGCTCCTCAGCTCCCTGCCGGGGCAGTCCCCAGTCTCTGCCCTCCCGGGTCCCAGCAGGTCCTGGAGGCGGGAGCCCTGGCTGGAGGGACCCTGGGCTGAGGCGTGGCTGGGGAGCCCTGCTGCTTACCCTGACCCTGCCAGAGCTGGACAGGTGAGGGGGGAGTGGGCGGAGTCAGCACTGGTGGGGGGAGCCCAGGGCTGGGGTGACAGGGGGTGCAGGTGGGAGCAGGCACTGGTGGGGGGTTGAGAGCCCAGGGCTGGGGCAGCCAACATTTTTTTTGCTTGGGGCGGCAAAAAACCTGGAGCCGGCCCTGTCTGGAAGAGGTGTGTTTCAAACCCAACACCTGATGAAAGAGGATGCCAATTTATGGCACCATGCAATAAAATAATAAATAAGAGGCCTGGCTAAACTAGTTCCCTGCATGGCCCTGTGATTTACAATGAAGTACCCACAGACCAGATGGAGCTCAGGCCATGGTGTGCAACAGCCACTGGCTACTTGTCACTCTGTTGTTCACATTGTTCATCTCAGGAAGACGAGCACTGACCTAAGGAGTTCAAGGAGTGCTTTGCACTTCTCCATGGCTCATAATAAAAAGTGTTCCTGGAGGTGGGAAAGGAGGGCAGGGATTATAAATAAGAGAAATAGCGCTGGGAGAAGGCTAACTATTGACCACCACTTGAATGCAGCCTTGCTCTTGGCTTCCCCAGAGGGAAAGGTGAGAAGATGTGGAGGGAGGGAGGGTGTAAATATACCCAACAGAGCATTGTCACAGTCTGGATTTCATTAATCTAGCAGATGAGTAGCCAAATGTGAAGCTAGGTTGACTGGCCTCAATGTAAACGATTTCTGTTTTGGGCTGGGCTTTTGCCAGATGGTAGCAAAAGCACAAAGAAAACCCACCCCTGTACAGGGATGAGTGGGGGGGAGAGAACCAATCATCATAACTTACAAAGGTTATTTTGCCTGCTGCTGCAGCCTATAATTTCCAATGGCCCATTCAGAAAAGCAATAGGAGTGATAGATTCTCAAACCATAAGCTCTGTCTTACTTGCTGATAAAGCTTTAAGTTAATGGTTATGGACTGGAAATAGGAAACGCTCTAGTGCAATACGCTCCATGCTCATAGCTTATTTTTAAAAGCCTTGTTTTAGAGCAAGGGTCTAACTTAACTCCCCCAAACACACCCCTAGCTATGAGCCCGCTCCATGGCCCATTGAAGTCAATGGAAATATTCGACCAGCCCCTAATGGATCAACTCATGTCTTCCTGCTGGCAAGTTAAAAGTGGCTTCAATGCACTTGGCTGGCTGGGGCTTAGCCCCTTGGATTGTGCCTCACTCAGCCATGCCTTCAGCTGTCCCTGGTGGCTGTCTGCACCTGCCTCACTGCAAGGGCTGCCCCGAGTAATAA